TAAAACATCTTGTGTATAGGTACAAATTTCAAATGAAATCAAAATTATTTTACTTAATTACCATCTCTTAAATTATGTATGATTGATTGACAGTTATGTATCTAATCAAATATGTGAAGATTTTATTGGATATTATCATTCTTTTGAATTTTAAATTGTATTTTTTATATTCATATGATCTAAAAATAGTTACACTAAACAGTCATTGATTATATCCGACACCAATCAGTTACAATTGACTTATGATACACTAATAATTTATTCATGGTTTCTGAAAGCAGTTAGATTAAATAGTTACACAAATCAGTTAGAATTGTCTTATGATATATCAAATAGTTATTTATGTGTATGAAAAAAATTGTTATATTAAATGGTTACTGAAATTATACAACACCAACCAGTTACAATTATTCTATGATACACCAATAATTTATTCATATGTTCTAAAAACAGTTTGACTAGACAGTTACACCAATTATGAGACACCAATTAGTTATAATTACCTTATAATGCACCAAATAATTATTCATGTGTCATGAAAATAGTTACACTAATCAATTCATTATATCATTCAATTGTTTAGTTAGATCAAAGAGTTACATTATTCAGTATCGCTACATAGTTACATCAATTATACACATCAAATTGGATGAACTAAGAAATTACACCAACGATGTACATCATATAGGCACACAAAACAGATAAACTAACGACATGTAGTATTAAACCAAAGTGTTACACCTGACAGTCGTACCATCCAATGATAACAAAGAGCTACAACAACGACATATATCAAACATTTTCACCAAAAAAGTCGCAAAAAGTTTTGAACCTGAAATGTATAAAGTATTTTTTGTATTCATGAGAAATGTGGAAAGTAATGAAAGTAAAATTGCAATCCTTAAACGACATCCCAGAGTAAAACTTTCTTGTCTTTCAAATCTTTGCAATATTTTTGAATTTCAAATTTTCCAAAGACCAAGGAATATGATCTATGCTTCTTGGTTTTACACCTTTTCCTTAATGGAGCCGCAGATGACGCTTGGGATCAAAATCAATTTTGTACTATTTTCCCTTTAACTTAATGGTTTTTTGGTCATTATTTAAAAAAATGCACTTGAGCCCAAATAAATTTTTATGTTGTATTTTAGCTCAAATAAGTCTAAATTTTTGACCGATTTTCATTTTTCCCAAAAAAATATGGCTGATAGTTAGCCCATCCGAGTCCAATATCCTTCAAGAGGGGGCTTAATTTTGCCCTCAAACTTATTACCCGGCCTAAAATCCGGCCCATAAGCCTGCTCATAAAAACCCAGCCCATGAGCCCACCTGTAAAAATCCAGCCCAAGAACCTACCAGCCAAGTACATCTACCCTTCCACCCAATTGTTTGAAAAAAAATTGACCATCGAAACTTTGAAAGTTTTGTGACAATAAATGCCTCTAAAAAATAAAAAAGTTAGGTGCACTCAATGCATAATTCAAAAAAAAAAATTTAGGTTTTTCCCTATTCATAAATAAAATTATTCATTATTCAATTTAGACAATTTTGACTCAACTTTTAATTCAAAAATATAATTTACAAAAATATTAAATTAAAAATTTTTTAAATAAAATTGTATATATATAAAAAAAGTCCACCCAATTAGTGATGAGTTGATCTGGGAGTAGTCTACCCCTACTCGAAGTCGGCCCAACCCACCTGATATCTCACCCAAGTAAAAGCGTGAATACTCAAACTCAATCCAAAAAAAAAATTGCAGACCTAACCCAGGCCGCCAATGAATACCCCTATTCCCAAACATTGAATAACTAGAACCTACTTTAATTTTGAGGTTTTTGTAAGTTGGTATACAGTGCTTAACTTTTAGGAGTAAAAGTCCAAGCATAAACATTTTGGGATTTTAAGGACATGCCTTTGTTGAAAGACAAAAATATCCAAAATCTTTTTCAAACGGCGATTTGGCTCTCAAAAAAACTGGTGACTATGACCCTTCATTGCAGAGGTTACCAAATTCGAAAATCCAAAAATCACTCTTCCTAGACTCTATACAAAATAGAAACAATAAAAAATCGGTGGATATCTACAACATTAGGGTTTGAGAAGCATTCAAATTTGAAGAACATAAATTCTCGTGTCAATAAAATAGGTTTCAATTTTTTGGTATTATTGCATACTTAATACGTCGAATTGAATCTGGTAAATTACGTACATAAACAACTGAATGAAAAATAACATACGACATTGATTTCATAGTTGTTACTGGGTTTTTCTAGATGAATATTTGGGGTTTTTTCATTTTCATGGATTTTTAAAAATGTGATTTTGCCACAATCATATCATATTTTGGTGTTTGAGTTATGTATTTGTGGTGCTTAAAATGTACTTTGTGCATACATTTTCTAAATTGGGATATATTTGAGTTTGAAATTTTTATGTTACTGTGATATTAAAATTTGAAAAAATGATTATATTGAGTTGTTAACTATGTATTGGTGTTACTATATAAATATGTTATTGCAGGGTCTTTGATTAAACTTGAAGTTTTATATTTATGATGATATAACCTAATTCGTTGGTAGTGACGGTTATTGTGAGTCATGTGGTTATTATCAGTAAAATGCTTGGTTTTACACAGTAATAATAGTCTCATTTCTGACTAAATTTGGGATATGACTGTAGTAACAAGATATGTCATTGTGTTATGCATTTGCGAATTAAAATGAGATTATACAAGCAATAACATGCATGTACTTTTTATTTTATTCTTTTATATGAATGTAATGGTAACCCACATGCTAAAAATAATTCACTTCTTTCATCCATAGCTAATAACCAGACATCCAATATATGCCATACCCGGTAGATTGAAAACCAAAACTCAAAGTGATTTCCGAATCAGTACGGAATTTTCAAAAAATCGAAACATAATCAATATAGTTTTCAAAAAATATAAACCTAATTAGTATAGACTTTTCAAATAGTATATCAGAAAACAATATATCCCAATCTAGAACTACCCATCAAAAAACCGAAACATAAACAGTATATCAGAGAGTTGCCTTGCCCGAGTTATAAGGAAAGAGGTTATACTCCATGTACAGAATGCGGGATAAAATTAGGATGTTTGACCATGGATACTTCTCTAAATATAAAAAGACTCGATTTCTCTAAGTGGATACTCAATCTTAGAAACCCACCAAATCAGTCTTCATACAGGAACTCCCAAAAAAAATTTCAAAACTATTCAGATTTTTAGAGAAGAAAACATATATGTAGAGACAAAACTAACCAATACCCAAACCCTCTTCGATGCATCTATTGGAAACCCAAAAAACTTGAATCCAGAAGAAAAGATATTTGCACATCCTAAAATGTCTATCATACAAATAATATATACATATACATATACATTATATATATATGATGAATTCTATCAAATAGTGGAAATATCCAGAAGACAAAAACCCTCCCCTCACCTTGTCCCCAAACATCAATGCCCCTAATTTTTGCAGTCCAAAATGTTTTCTTTAAAAACCCCAATCAGGATGTATACCTTTCACCACCTTAGAATCTTCCACCTCCTAGTAATCTTGGATCCACTTGAGAATGCCAGATGCCAAGAACAACAGACATTGGAAGAGTTCTTCCAGTTAAGAGAGCGAGGCCTACAATGTTGGCGGGTGTAAAAAGTGGGAAAAATTATATATTCAGGTAGAGGGATAGTTCAATAATTGTTAAGGTCTTCAATATCTGGGGGTATTTTAGGTCTTTTCATTGATTCTGTTTCCACCGTCAATTAGTCGTCAACCATAGGGGGTGTAAATGTGATATTTTAAATGTGATGAAGTATAATTAATTAAGTGATAAATCTAAAGGAATTTGAGTATAATTTACCATTTTTATTATGGTGGGACCTTTTTTTACTCATGTCTGCGTAGACTTGCCTTCATTTCTTCGCAGAGAAGACTACGGTACATCTTTTTAGATTTTTGGTATATTACCGAAAATTTTTGGCGGTAAAATTACGATAAAAATTAAATTTTTAGTATCATACCAAAAATTCAAGGGATTTTGCCCTAGTCTGATCCTATCTTCACATATCTTCTAATGGGTCCACGTATAACTAATATGAATTGAACTTTTTTTATTGTTGTTCTAAAAATAGATAAATTAAATAAAGTAATACAATATAAATGAATAAAAAACAAAATTAAATATATTATTAAAATAATACATAATTTTATCTAATATTTCACAATACATAATATAAGCGTTATATAGTAGTTATTTAATTCAATCTATTATTTAGTAAGAGAATTATTTTATCGTAGTGATGTTAAATTAATAAAAATATCATTAATTAGCATTTGTTATATTTATGACAGGTTAATTTTATTATTTGAAAGATTATAATAATAAATGTGTAGAATAATACGTTTGAGTTAAAAGATCTCTATAATACAACTCTTTCATAAAAAAAATTATGCGATTAATATATGTTTGTTAAATTAATACGGCATTAAATTTATTTATTAAATAAAATATTAGATTTGATTAAATGAAAGATAATATAATTAAATATTTAATTCATTTATAATACGCCAACCGACGAGTACATTATGATTTTTCACTAGGTTCTGTATTGGAGAAATTCATCGTTAACCTTAAAAAAAAAAAAAAAATTAAAGTCCAGATCGATTCAGATTAACACGTTCAAGTTGAAGCCCCGACGTCAAAACCTTCCCTCGTCATTCCAAAAACCAACTCACTCTTCTCGCCACGCATTGGACTGTGACAATTACATGTCACCATCACGTGACATAAAATTTCCTCCCCCCCTCATCATCGTAAATTTCGAAGCTTATGTTTTTAGATTTTAGATGATTGATGAATGATCAACTTAAACAACCCTTCCTTTTTCTCTCCAACATTCGATCAAATCGTTCTCTCTCTCTCTCTCTCTCTTTGGAAAACAAACTCTAGGATTTTTCACATCCATGGCCATTGATTCGTCATCGTCCAGTACTTCACTTGCTCCTGGGTTTCGGTTCCACCCGACCGATGAAGAGCTGGTGCGTTACTACCTCAGGCGCAAGATCTGTGGAAAACCCTTCCGCTTCGACGCCATCTCCGAAATTGACATCTACAAGGCCGAAGCTTGGGACCTACCAGGTTTTTCTCTATCTAATGTTAGGTTTTTTGATTTATTTTTTCACAACTATTGGCCTTCGTTTGATCTCTTGCTCGCAATTATATAGAATTGAACATTGAAAGTACGAATTTGAATTGCTAGTTTAGATTAGAAAAATAGAGATTTTTCTTTTAAAATTTGGGTAGTCTAATGATTCGTAAATCATTAGACTTCATTTCGCTCTTTGGAATTATGAATTTTGACCAATTATTTAGTGGGTCAATATTGGGGGTTTTAATGATGAGTTTTATCAATCGTTTCGCTGCATAGAATTGATGCTCTTTTTTCTTTTCTTTTTTTGCAACTGGATAGAATTGATACTTAATCCATCAAGTGAGTAAACTAGGGAGATTGAGTCAACCATCTGCTTCGTCCTCCCTGTTGAATAATATGATTTGTGCTCCTTTTAGGGTTGTGAGATGCGATTAGTTAATATGAGGAGTTGTGGGTTTTAGGTAAGTCAAGGCTGAAGACTAGAGACTTGGAGTGGTACTTCTTCAGTATGCTTGATAAGAAGTACGGAAATGGATCAAAAACAAACCGTGCAACTGGACGAGGGTATTGGAAGACAACGGGGAAGGACCGAGCTGTCTACCATAGGTCACAGATTGTGGGGATGAAGAAAACTTTGGTTTATCATATTGGTCGGGCTCCACGGGGTGAGAGGACTAACTGGGTCATGCATGAGTACAGGCTTATTGATGAGGAGTTGGCGAAAGCTGGAATTGTTCAGGTGGGTGTTTTACTGTGGTGTGTGTGAGTTCATTGTGTCTGTTCTTTAAGGGTTGTTTTGGTTTGCTTCAGGACTCATTTTCAGTTTTTTGGAGTAAAATGGAGCATTAATTTCAAAGAAGTTGCGGTTTGTGTATTCCTGTTTTGGAATCAGAAAGTAGATTCAAATGTGGATAGCCAAAAATCGAAATAATGTTGAACTAAAGTAGGAGTCTTTGTAGAACCAGTATTTGAATAAAAAAGAAATGGTGATTTTGGTGATTTTGCAGAAAATTTAATTATTACAAAATGGTTGCTAGTTGTCTCGGATTCTTGATCTTACTGTTTTTTTTTTTTTTGCTTTCTTATTTTTTTTGGGTTGGGAAGGATTCATTCGTGCTGTGCCGAGTATTTCAGAAGAGTGGTTCTGGTCCAAAGAATGGGGAGAAATATGGGGCGCCATTTGTTGAGGAGGAATGGGAGAATGATGAGTTGGAAACGATCCCCAAGGAGGAAGCTGCAGAGGGAGTGGTAGTTGGTGATGATGACTATTTGGATGGAATTGACCTTGAGCAGGTTTGTGCTTTTTCTCATTTCACTAATGTATATATGTATTAGTGATTGTAGCTCTCTCATTGTTCTATGCACACATCAGGATATAGCAAAGATAACAAGGCAAGGGTTGTTTAATTGTATTGCAAACAATGGTTCCGTGAGTTGTTTTTATGCCTAAATTAGTAAAGGAGTGAAAAAGTGCTATTAACACAACACGGTACCATAATCATGTGGAAACAATAAAAATGCACGCAATCTGTATCCAATTTTTTTTTTCAGTTAACGCGTTTTTGTAAATGGAATCTTTATCAATATAGTTTAGATTCTGTAAAAGGAATGCCATGGTTGGGAAGCTGAATAAAATTAAAAAAATAGAGTGGCTGTTGGGATAGAGACAATCCATTCTTATACATATCAAAAAGAAGTGTGCATTTTTAGCTTATCGTGTACAATTTTAATAAATGGAATTGCCGTATAATAGAGCTTCAATAGCAGTGTTGAGCTTTACTCATGATACGAGTGGAACTAAGGACCTGAATGCAGTTTCAGAGCTCTCACGCTGCTAGCTAAAGAATGAAGAAACCGTTACTGAATGAGAATGAATACCTAGCTCTATGAACTTCTTTATCATATTACATTCCAAAGACTATGCTCTAAATGCAGCCTTAAGCATGCTTTTCAAAAACATGTCGTCTATACTATTAATTCTCAGACCAAAGTATAGTCATTGGACAAGAACGCTCATGCCATTGTGTAATAGTCCTTATGAAAAGGAAATTTATGGCAGAGATCATCTAATTGTTTGTGCAAACTTAGGATCTAACTATGAGTCATCTTTGTGTAATTGGTCTTGATTACTTCGTCCATTTGATTGGAATAATATTGTCTTCCTATTCCTCCACTGTCATTCTAGTCAAATTGAAGACTTTACTAATAGCAAAAGAAATTGACAAAGAGATACTCGTGGTCTATTCTTCCTTAAATCATCCTTGGTTTCATGAGGATCATCCGATAATTGGTAATTTCACTCATTCAACCACAAATCAATATTAGATCAACGATCCCTTAGGTTTTAGAAGTTAGCTGTCCATTTTAATGAATTCTTGGAATATATACCCTTGTTGAATTGTGAGAATGTTGGAGCTTGGATTACGATGTCATCTAACTTAAGGTGCATTGGATTTTTTGCGTCCTTTCTATTTGTCCTTTGCTTGTTTTCTGTTCTGCTGTGTTTCAGCTTGGAATCTGCAATATTATCTGGATGGTTTGTATCTATAATATTATTCAAGTAGAGCTGCAAAGGTGTTCTTACACTTCCTTATTTTTGTTCTCTCATCTTAGTTACCTGTTCTAGTATGTTGAGAGCTTTCCCTTTCTTCATATTCTCACGCTATTGTAATGTAATTGGATGAGTTGTCTTGAAACTGAAAGGGAATATGCTGATGATTGGAAGATAATCACATTCAAAACAATTTGAACTTGTTTTTTTTCTTAGTAAGTGATATGATTTCTATTAACCGAAAGCATCCATATACAAAAAAATACCCCATATAAAATTAACCGAAAGCATCTATTAACCGAAAGCTTCTCTTTTCAGCCCCTTTATTCCGTAGATCAGGGAGGATAAAAAATAGTGTCTGGGAGTGTCCACTGTCTTTGCAGCCAGAGGTTAGGAATGGTTTGCTTGTAACCCCTACACATGTTCATTCTGTATCTAATGGAATCAACCACCTCTTTGAAAAGTATAGCTACATCTCTATAGGCATTCCTGAATATCCTGCAGTTTCTTTCTCTCCAGATTATATAAACTGTAATGGATAGAATCAAGCTACAGATCTGTTTCTTCAGTCCTTTACCAGTAATTCTAGTAGTCAACCATTGAATTAGGTCCTTCTATCTATGGTTAGGCCAATTAACACAACACTTACTTTGTAATGAGGTCCATACTCTACTGGTGTAAGAGCAGTCAAAGAACAGATGATCATGTGTCTCTACTTCACCTCTACAAAAGACACAGCGAGTACTCTGTACTAGCCCATAGGAGCTGAGCTTGTCAAGAGTTGCTAATTTTTCCTTCACTGCAATCCATAAGATGAAACTAAATCTAGGAATTGCTTTAGAGAACCATATAATTCTAGTCCATGTTTGCTTTTTTTTTTTTTGTTCTCATTACCTCCCATGCAGAACTAGAGCTGAAATTAGTATTAGTTGGAGGAAGCCACTGGATAGAGTCACTCTGATTCCGTAAAATCTAGGGAATGTTTCTTTGAATCTTCAGGAGGTCTGCATTTCTAGTAGCAGGCCATCTCCACATTCCATCCATGATAACACTGTTAACTTTAGCATTACTCCCAAGTCTAGACAATGTAACGTAATTCCTCTTTCCCCCACCTTGTGATAGAGGAGACCTCAGGGGTGCCAAGGGTCAAACCATGAGAATGCATTATCACCATTCCCAACTTTATATCTTACCAATGGGAAGCTCGCCTCTCTTAATCCCAAAATTTTTCTCCATACAATAGAGGAAGCTTGAGCCAGTCTATGTTCCAAAAGCTTCTTCCTTTCAAGACATAGATGTAAATGTAGCTCATCGAAATCAAGTTCCATTCCATGAATTTTTTTAGAATGGTGTGATCAATGCAATTACCAATGCGATTTTTATTTGCTTGATTCCAAAGAAAGACAAAGTCCACGAAGGTGAGAGATTTTAGGCGGATTAGTTTGATGTCTAGTCTTTATAAGATCATTGCAAAAGTCTTAACTTTAAGATTGAAGGAAACATTTTGTGAAACTCTTTTTGAATATTAAAGAGCTTTTGTTAAGGGTAGATAAATTCTTGATATTGTATTAGTGACATATAAGGTGGTGGATGAGTATAGAGATAAATGCAGGGAAGGTTTTATTTTCAAGATGGATTTTGAGAAAGTATATGATTATATTGATTGGGCCTTTTGGAATATGTTATAAGGGTGAAAAGATATGGAGGGAGATAGAGAATTTATTAGGGGATGTTTGCACTCGATGAATTTTTTGGTTATGATGAATGGAAAGTGTAGAGGTAGATTTAAGTTTTCTATAGGATTGAGATAAGAGATCCTTTATCTTGTTTTTTCTTTACTTTAGTAGCCGATTGGTTAAGTAGATTAGTGAGGAAGGCTAAAAGTTGTAATTTGGGTCTTTCATTTATAGTTTACTGATGACACTATTTTTTTCAGAGGGAAAGGAAGGATAATTGATCAATTTTAAGAATATTGTAAAGCTGTTTGGTTTGGTTACAGGTTTGAGGGTAAATATGGATAAAAGTGTACTCGTGACCATTAATTCAAATGAGGAAAAGAATAGTAGGTTAGCAGAACTTTTAGGGTGTAAAGTATGAGAGTGGCCTTTGAAGTATTTAGTACTACCGTCTATGAATCACGGATATGGGATACGGGTACGATACGATACGGATACAATGATACGATAAAATCTAAAAAAGTAGGATTCAGGTACGGTCAAGATACGTTTATAATAAAATATTTTTATTATTTTCAACAAGTATAATACTTATATATTTTAGTAGTTTTTTAACACAATAAGAAAAATTAGTAATTTTTTTAGTTTCTAGAAAATATATATTGTATCACTATGATATATTCACAAAGTGAAATGACTAATTAAAAGAATCAAAACTAATATTTTCCGAGTCGGTTTATTTAGAAATAATTTTAGATAATACTTAAAAAATACTCATGTGCCTTTGAAGTAGTATGAATTTTTATAAATGTATTGTATGGTATGTGAATTTGACAAGAAATGTTAAAAATTCAACTAAAAAATTATATATATTGCTTGAACACAAAAGTATCCGTGAAGTATTCTAATATTTAATTATTATCGAATATATTTGAGGTGTATCCGATACGTATTCTCTCGTATCCGATACAGTATTGAATACGGGTACGCCAACCTCAATAAAGTATCTGTGCTTTGTAGACTACCTTTAGTAGGAAACCCACTATCATTTTTTTGGGATCCAATGGTAGAAAAAGTTGGTAAAATATTAGATGGGCGGAAGAAAGCTTATATATCCCAGGGGAGAGGCTAACTTTTGCGCAGTTAGTTTTATCTAGTATTCTCACACTTGTTATCTCTTTTCAAGTTACCAGTAAGAGTAAATGTGATACTTAAAAAAATGATGAGAGACTTTCTATGGAAAAATAGTGGTGAAGGTAGAAAGGATAATTTGATTAGTTGGCGTGTTGTGTCTAGTTCTAAGGATAAATGAGGTCTCTCAATTGGTAATTTGAAGACAAGAAATATTATTTTTGTAGGAAAGTGGTTTTGGAGGTTTCTCTTGGAAACAAATTCTTTGTGGTATTTAGTTATTGGGAACAAATATAAATTACATGCTAACAGATGGGACACTAATAGGGTTGAAAGAGTTGGTTTTTGATACCTTTGAAAATTCATTTATTAGGTTTGACGAGGTTTTTTCAAGAATTTAGGTTAGTGATGAGTAATAGAGAGAGAATTCATTTTTGGGAGGATGATTGAGCAGGTGAAAATTGTCTGTCATATTTGTCTCATCTCTATCGTTTATCTCAATTTTGTAATTCATTCATTGTGTCTATGATTCGTTGATATAGTTCTCCATATTTTTGAGATTTTGGTTTTCGTAGGAATTTCGATGATAGAGACACCGTTGAATTGATGTCATTTCTGGATATTCTTAACAACATTGTTTTGAATATTGACTCTAGTGATAAAAAAGAGTGGATGTTGGAATCATTAAGAGTCTTTTCATGTAAATCTTTCTTTGATTCTTTGGTGGGGGAAAATTCTTATTCTTCCTTTGAAATTGCTTTGATGATATTGAAATCTAAAGTACCTTTGAAGGTGCAAGTTTTGCATAGGCAGTTGCACTTGATAAGATTAATATTAATGACATGTTGCAGAAAAGTAGACCTTACACTTGTATTTCCCGTATGTGCTATGTGATGTGTAAAGGTGATGGTGAGAGTGTTGATTATTTATTTTTACACTGCTCTATTTTGCTTTGAATTTGTGATATCGGTTGTATTGAGAGGTGGGCTTGAGTTGATTGATTCTCGCAATATCCATTTCCTTGTTTAATGAAGATGTTTAAGGATTTGGGAGACTTGTGTTCGCGCAGCCCCTGTATAAAAAAAAAAAAAGGATTTGGGAGACTTAATAAAGGGGTTACTCTTTGGAATTGTGCTCACATTCTTTTTTTGGCTTCGTTTTGGGCTTCGGTTACAAAGGCTTTTAAAGGAGTTCCGCTTTTTGCTATACTAGTGGGATGGAGAGCTTCATGTCATTTATGGGCTTCTTCTATCTTTTTGCTTTGAATTTTTACTGTAAATACCCTTGATACAAGAGTTTCTATTTTATCACTTTCTATTTTAATTCAAGAGTTTCTATTTTGTATCAAAAAAAATAATCACTCCAAAGATGTCTTAGAATGGCAGCCTTATTCCATGGTTCAATAGCTTTGATTCCAAGTCCCCCTTGATCCTTAGGCAGGCAGACAGAGGACCATGCAACCCTTGCCCCACTAGCTCCCAGGTCTGTACCTGTCCATAGGAATCTTCTCAAGATTTGCTCCACATGACACAGTATTGATAACTTTCTTTGGGAGAATAAACATGAAGACCAATAAACCTGGATAGAGAATGGCATAGAATTTATCAACTGAATTCTACCTGCATACGAGAGGACCTTGTTGCTCCAAGAATTAACCCAATATGAACTTTTTTATCTTAGATTAACTATGATTTTGATTAGTTCTCCTATGATTATTGTTCAGATTCCCTACTTAAAGATGCGTATGACTATTTGAGAATGAGAAGAAGGATAGTATATAGTATTTCAAGTTGTGTAGTTATGCTGGTTGGTCAAGCTATCATTTGATTGTTTGCTGAGATTCCTTCTAAACTTCTACTGATTTTTGAATCTTTCTTAGAGGTAGCACAAAATATTTTGATTATGCAACTACGTGCTGGAGTCATGGTATTGAACCAATATGACACGTGACATGGAAGAGAACTTGCTTCTGCATTATTAAATGATTGTGTCAGGCTTAGAAATCATTCGTATACCTAGAGAATTGTGGTACTGTTTAAGTGATGAAAACTTGGGCTTTATGTTTGATGCCAATACTATTTAGGCTTGAAAATATATTGGATATAGGTAGTTCTATGGTTCAACTTTGAAAGCCATTATCATGTCGTCTAATGGTTGTCCTATGAATGGATAAAAAATTCTCTGCCAGCAGTGACTGATTGGACGGCTGAAGCTTCGTTCACATTCACATTCTGGTCTGGTGCCCAGTAGGGTAATTGTGCATTTAATGAACAGGGTGAGGACTTGGGAATTGGGACTTTTTCAATTCTCTTTATTCGTTTGTTTCCTCTGATTCTGTCTTAGGGAATTCCTGATTGTTCCGCCGATCTTTTTACTTCATCATCACACTCCTCCTTACTTCACCACTTCAACTCAAGATATGTTTGTTTATTATCTTCTGAGGAAAGCTGCTTCTGACCAGATTCTTGGGACAAGCCCTCCATCAGAAGATGCTCCACTTCCTTCGAACTTGTATATGGGGGACAACAGCAGCTATGCTGAGGAATCAACGGACTTTGTTGATAATGCTCAAAGGTTCTTGGTGGGTGTGGGTCAAAACCATTGCAGTTCAGAACAGCCTGATGACCAGAAGTTATTTGATTTGCCAGTGCAATATGATGTCGATTCAAAACCCGTCAAACATGAATACATTGGTGAATCAAGCAAGACCGTGAATCCCGTGGATGAAGATTACTTACTTGACGAACCATTCTTGAATGCTAGTAATGTCCCTCAATTTGATGATGGAGCATATCTGGAAGCTAATGACCTCTCTAACCCCATTGAGGCAGATGCCTATCCTTATGACATGTTTGAAGAGTACCTTAACTATTTTGATGCAGTTGGTGACAACATGCAGTGCATGGGTTTTAACTCTTCAAATATGATGGAAAGTGATCTTATTTCTGGCCAAGCATCACTTACCCAGGAGGTAATACAATTTTTGGAACTTGACCAACCTGTTAAATTTGATGTTAAATATTGCAACTTATAACTTGATACTCTGTCAGGATGGAGGAGTCCAGCAAGTGGCTATGTCAAGCCAAGAGCTCTTGGAAGGGCATAGTAATGACATTGCATCCTCTCCAAACCAGGTCACAAAATTTGGATCAGGTATACTAACTTCACCTCAGCAGCACTGCTGGCTTCACTACAAATCTGCTCCGTATATTTGTTTCGGACTGCGATATTAAACCGTTCATTATGTGAACAATTTTAATATGCCATTTATACTCACTTGTTTGTCATTTTTGTGTTCCTTCAGATGGGACAGATGTTCAGCACCCATTTGTCAAGCAGGCCAATCGCATGCTGGGCAGCATCCCTGCTCCACCTGCATTTGCTTCGGAGTTCCCCACAAAAGCTGCTGCTCTTTGTCTGAACTCTGCGTCCCAGTCTTCCAGTTCAGTCCATGTTACTGCTGGTATGATCCAGATAAGAAATATGAATTTGAGTGACAGTGGGGCAGACTGGTCGCTTGGTAAGCATAGCCTCAACATAGTGATCTCTTTTGACATGTCACATGCTGATGGTAATTCTGCCATTCTGGGGCCAATGGTTAGCATGCTCTATGGAAAGGCTGGTTCGGCAATATCCCGGGCTTGGTTTTGCTTTATGTTCATTGGGGTCCTGATGGTTTCTATGGCCTTCAAGATTTGGACCTGTATTTGTGTCAGGTAAGGCTCACTAGTAGGACTGGTAACCATACTATACCCAAAACAGTGTAATTGGCTGAAATTCCTGGAACACTTGGCAGATATCGACTCCATTTACTCTGACAGAACTCTCTCTTGCAAATTTTTTTTTTTTTTTTGTTATTTCATTTAAAATGTTAAATTTTGAATATGTTGCTATATAAGCTTGATGTCCCGACTTTTGGAAGGGTTTGCCAGCTGCATTAATTTCTTAAAGGGAATGTATTTGTCAGAATTCTTGTTAGGTTTGATGTATGAAATATGAAGGTAAGCTTCTAGGGAAGAAGACACTCAACCGAACCGTCACACAAGTAAACTAGTTGCTGGGAATGAACAAGATATCGAGGGATTCTCCACTTGAAGGTTTCTTTCAATGCAAAGATGAAACTACCTGTATGCTAACTGAAAGGACGTGAATACATAATGCAAGGCAATGGAAGTTTAGTGTATGCAATGGAAGTTCAGCCATCCAGCAGTTGGATTTATGAGCCTAGTATCATCCAGTAATGGCTGGAACACAGGAAAGCAGCTGCTCTCACATTTATAACTTTCAAGTGGTGCAAAGTTGAGTATTTTTTTTTAATTAATAATCCAAATTAGCATTCTTTTAATACCTGATTTCGATTTTATAGTGATTTCTACCGTATTTTTTAAATTACAGCTGTTTTCATATAAGAGTGTGGTTTGCAAAATACGTTTCTAAAGTTTTTTTATTGAAGGAAAAATTATCAGTAAGTCTTACTTTTTCCTTAAAATAATTATAAAGTCTTATCATTTTTATCTTAGAACAATTAAGTCGTACTTTTAATAATTTCTTCCCAAGAACTCCTAAGCTCCATTAATGGTTTGTTTTTGTTTATAATTTTATATTTAATTTTATTTATTACTATATGATTTTTGTATCTTAAATTAAAATCCAAGTAAGTTATACATCCATCCTATTGATAGGTAAGAGTTCAAATACGAGTGAATCTTACGTAGCATAAAAATAATAATATACATCAATTTTTTTTATTTGATCTCTTAAATATAATATTGTAACTTCGAATGTTTGAATTTTTTTTTATCCTTAAAATAATGATGCTTTCTAATTAATTTAAATTGCTGAAGGAGAAAGAAAAAAAATGTAATTAGATGAACTTTTCTCAATGATTGTATTTATAGATTAGATTTTTACATTCTTGATTTATCTAATTATATCTTTATAGTTGATATTCAATAGTTAAGTGAGTCAAAATTTATATACTTAAAAAAAAGTTAAATATATGAAAAGATAGGGTTGATGATCTATCATTTTTATAAGTTTTTATTGTTAATTACGTATTTCGGGTGTTATGCACTAATTAGAAAAATAATTAATTTGCCTTTGGGACACTAATAACAACTATTATTGATAAAAAAATGTAATTGTTGTGTTGATGAGAAGGATAAAATTGGAACAAAATATACTATTGATAGAGTTTAGAATTTCTTGGGAATAAATTATCAAAAATAGGACTTAATTATCCTAAAATAAATATGATAGGAGTTAATAATTTTTTGTAGAAAAAGTAGGACTTATTTGTGATTTTTCTTTTATTGGAAGCTTATTTTCTAAATTCTTTTACATCAATTTTATAGAAACATCTGAGAAATAAGTGAAAAGCTAAATAATCATTTCTATGAGAAAAAAAGGTACTTAGCAGAAGGTCTAGTTCCTTGGGCATTGATTGACCAGGAGATGTGTGCAAGTTTGGGAGATGCCATGCGAAGTGTAAGAACTAGAGATCATACAGGACAGGTTGTTGCTGTAGCGTCGGGGAAGATGTGTGTTGCCTCTCCGTTGGCATCCGAAGCTTGAGCAATAAGGAAGGCGTGTATTTTGGCAATGACTGAAAGCTGGAGATTTGTTATTTTCGAATGTGACTCAAACACTCTCATTGATTCATTGGTGATGGGGCCTACTAAGTCATTAAGGGATGTTGAACCAATTCAGAGAGATGTGTCCTCGCAACACATTTCCGTTAAATTTCTTTTTGTCAGGAGATCAGCTAATCATTTACCTCATTTGGTTTGCTCATCTAACCAATTGTGGGAGTCTTCCTGGTGATTGGTTTTTGAATCCTCCACTTCAAGTACTGCAACTGATCTAGAAAGAAGTTCGCGAGGGCATAGGATAGTACAAAATGCTTCTGTTTTTGTTACAAGTATATTCTTTTGTAAGTATGTTTTATGAATGACCAAAAAAAAATCTATCACGCAAAGTATAGGAACTAAAATTCTTCCTCGGGTTAGTCAATACTTAAAAATTTGTATTTCTAGGTAAGTGTATATAATACTATAGCCCGTTCATTAAGGGCTGCCCAAGTGTTTGGGATGGCTTTAAGCTTCTTTTGCCTTACTTTCTATTATATTAGTCAACTAGCGATACATCATGATTAAAGTCATTATACACTGAGCTAAAATATTGTGCGTGTATTAGAGTGTGTGTATATATGAGTGTGTGTGTGTGTGTGTATTGAAGTGTGTGCAGTTGTGTGTTGTGGAGTGTGTGCGTTGAATTTGTAAAATTTAGGGGGAAAAATGTGTGTTTGGTGTGTGAAATTTGGGGAGAGGAGAAAATAAACTCCCATATGTTTAAAAACCTAATTATCTAATTCGATAGATTGCAAATGAAGGGTGTACACAATAATTTTCTCTTTTTCCTAATTTGAGAGAGAATAAGAAAAGTCTTCCCTTAAATTCGAAAATATGACACAACTAATGACTCTTCATAGACAAAGGCAAAATTGTGTATAGGTAAGGGTGTTTATGGACCGGGTTATCCACGGATCCTGTTACCTGATTCAAAACCCAATATACCTGATAGTTAGCCCGCCCGTGCCCGAACCCGAGCCCAAACCCAATACCCTTAAAAAAAAAAAAAGAGCTTATGTTTGCGCCCAAACCCTATGTATAGGCTTAGGGGGATGCCCCCTCACATTCTGAAAAATCCCTATAGTCCCATTAAGTTTTAGAAAGTTCTATTACTTCCTCCTAGGTTTTCAAATGTCTAGAGTATATTATTTCACTTAATGTGTTCAAAAGATTGAAAACTTGATATTTATTGACAAAAATCGTAATGTAATCACATAGATTATTGTTGCTCTTTCTAGAGAAGCCACTTGTTTAAATAATTTTGATAACCAAAGGGAAAAAAAAAAGAAAATTTTTATAAAATCAGGTTACAAATGTAATTTATATCAAAAGTACGATAGTAACTCATAATTCATTTTTATTGTAGTAATTGTCACAAACTAATTGTATAAACCAAATTTTGAATTTTATGATCCAAAATAATTTCAATGATGGTATTGCATAAAAATAAATTTTGTGTAACTAGAAATTCATGATTACTAAAATAGTTTATTGAAAAACCATGTTAAACAAAATCATTGTCTATTTTATTGTTTGGCCATCTCATGCTAAAATTCTGAATCCGTCCCTGTTCACATGAATGTCCACATGTTTCCGTGGAAAGTAAACTGAAACTTTGTGTCCCTCGCGGTAATTTAGAAATTGTTCGTGCTAAGTTGTCACCATAGTCACGACATGTGCAAACAGGGAATTCTAATCCCCATTTTCATGTCCTTTGCTGCTGCTGTCCAAAGAAATGAAAGGAACCAATCAATGTTGAGATCATCACTGGCCTGCCTAAATAAGGTGGCTTGAAGAACTGTCAGCAATTATTTGCAGTCCATTACAGTAACTGATGGAAAATAAAGCATACAATTGCACCAATCTAGATCAAGATGACCAGATAAAAAAGTTCACTACCTGTCCAGGCAAGTTGAATAAAAAGGACTAGCATCATACTGCAAGGGCCAAGCTATAACATCAGTGATCATTATACCCACATAGCTCACCAAATGGCTTGAAACTGCAGCATTCATTATCGTCTACTTCCAATTCTGCATACTTGCTCTACCTAAATAAGCAGTGTGATAATCGTATCGTGTACATATTGCCATATTTAATTTGGAGCTCTTAGTGCTAGCTGTCAAATATATACTCGAAATTCTTTTATACTTGGTTCTACATTTCTCCAGGAAGCATTGTATCCTCAGGTAGATCACAGACAGCAATACCCTAGAAAGAGCAAACACATTCATACATGTAATAGATTAAACACCATTACATCATGGTAGGATAAGACAAGAGTACTCACCTCCCCTGTAAGATGGGCCACACATCTTTTCTCTGCAAGCAACTCTTCTTCGGTCTGCAAAACATAGTGTGGTTAAAATCATATCTTAAATTAACTCGATCAAATGTAGGCGAGCTATCACACCAGTTTAACAATAATGTAAGTTTATTTCTTGTTTCATTTCAAATTGTAGTTGGTATTTGATTCTCTTTTTTGTTTTCTTCTTTTTTTTCCCACAGCACAGAAAAGTGTTCTCTTGAATCTGTGGCGTCTTTTCAACAACATCAATACGCCTTCTCACTATTAGAATAAAACAACACATTGGTTCCGTTTTCATAATTAACATTGTGACAGCCACGTATATACGTGTATATATATATGTGTGTGTATACCCAGACACACACATATTGGAAATATTGTTTGATTTAAAAAAAAATATATTGTTACCTTTTTTATTCGCTTGCGCAGGTAGTCATCAAATATAACATCTTTGACGAGTTCATAATCACCATCTCCCTGAAAGGGCACATTTTCCACGCAATGTTAAACAACTCTGGACAGATGAAGTTACAAAGAAATTACAATGAACAGCTACCGCTCAAAAAAAAAAAAGTTCACTTTTGATCTGCAGGGCATACTGAATACAATGTCCTCTGCTACACCATAAGGATTCCCACTGGTGTAAACCTACATTGGCATTGTAAACCATGAGACTAGAGAATAGAAATCCAATAGTTAAGGCAAGATCATGTTAATGGAATATCCAAATCTCTGTGCATGCTCATCATTTGGTTTTTCTCAAGGTGGTAGCTCATATAACTTACTACCTCTATTACTACAACTGCTATAATGGAGAAATACTGTCATGGTAGAAAAATCTGTGTTTAAATGACTGCATAATTGGTCAATTAGGTCAACTATTCAAAATTCGGAAACAAGTCAGCGAACGTGGAACTTACTCCAGAAGAAAACCAATCACCCTCAGGAGTTGGAGTTACAAGAGATCTGATGGCATCAACAATTGACACAGCAGTTGATGCAGCTGAAGATCTTCCCCATTTCTGAATCAGAACACCACCTCTCTGTACATCAATTTTCCCAATTAATGATTGAAGCCAAGAAAAAGTATCGTTCAGTTTCAGACGGTTAATTCTCTAAACTAGGCATATAATACAAACAAGCAATATCACGACTTGATGTATCTTACCTTCTGCACCTTTTCTGTGAACTCTTCCTCTAACCACTTGGCATCTTTAATAACTTCTTTGACAGGTAAGCCATTTATTCTCGCATTTAGAAAGTCTGGTACCTGGTGAAATTGAAAAAAAAAAAGCCATAACTCAAGAAGACAAACCAAGAAATGTGTAACCTTCTCATACCTTACAAAGAAATATATCCAATAACCTGAGTGGTTGAGTGGTTTCCCCAGATGGTCACATTTGACACTTGGTCATAGAAGACTCCTGCTTTGAGAGCCAGCTGCACAAACCATAACAGTTATGTCCAAATTTCAAACACTTGCTTCTTTCAATCATGGCAACAACATCATCTCATA